GAATCAGACGTATTCTAAATTTCGTAGAACATGTAAAAAAGGCAAAAGACATATTTTATATTTAGTAGACTATAAAGAAAACGAAGATGTCGTATTCTAAACTTCGTGGAACCAATAAAAACGCAGATGATGTATTCTAAACTTCGTAGAGCAAATAGGAGATGCTGAATTTATATTCTACACTTCATAGAACGTAGAGCTAATACATATTATACATATGACAAATTATAAATGCATATACATTAGAGATACAAATGAAAATCAACTTTGAACACCATCAAAAGATAACCATATATGTTTAGTACAAATTTTGTAACGCCCGTGAACCAAAAATATGATTTTTGGTTGTGTGTCGATTGACACGTGTGTTTAATTCGCGAAGGAATCTGTTGCTGGAGCTGTGTCGCACGACACAAGAGGTTTGTGTCAAGCGACACATGCTTAAATTGGACCATGTGGTTTTGATTTCTGATCGGGTTTGGTTTGGATTGGTTTAGGGAACCTAGGGTTCCGTATTTAAGCAGAGAAAAGCGTTTTCTCTTGGGGTTGGCCGAAAATTTGATCAGAGAAAGAGTTTTAGCGAGTTTTGTGAGAGAAGTGTTTTTCTTGAGAGAGAAACAGTTCTGCTCGGGTTTTTGGAGGAGATGATTGGCGGGGAAGATCGGATCGGATCAGAGTGAAACTTTGAGGGTAAGTTATCCTATCTTTGCTCTTGATGTGGGTGAAAACCGCGTGCCTTTTGGATGAGTATTCGCTGAGTTATGGCCGTTGGATTGTGTGAGGTTTCTGCAGTCTCGAGTCTGCGATCAGTCCACTTCGAGGGAGGATTCCCGTCGAACCAGAGAGAATCAGGAGATGATCCTTATGCCGTTGGAAAGCTCTCTCTGTCTAGTTTTTGTATTAGGTTTCGGATCCTGATTTGGAGTTTCGATTAGCGAGATTGCGGACTGTTTTCCCGTCGATCTTTTTGGAGTTAGGAGACGTTCTATACACCGTTGCGAAGCTCTTGGTGTCTAGTTTCCAGATCAGGTTTCAGACCTTGATTTGGAAAATGGAGTCGCGAGTTATTCCCTTCTGTTCGGGTCGTGTCGGGAGTGCCTTGTTTCCTCGTTTCAATCCGTTTGCAA